TTTGCGATTCCTATACATACAATGTATGCACAAACGTTGTTTGTACGTACAATATTCATAATTATATTGTAATATACTTAATGCAATGCGCATATGCTTAGTACATATAATTATGCATTTATGATACATGTACGCATGTATGTTAGTTTGTACAAAAAGGCAATGTTTTGTATCTTTGTATACATAGACAATGTATGTATGAACGTATATGAAAATAATGTTTATGCGTTTGCATGCTTTTATGTACTTAAGTGCATATATTGTATAAATTTACGATAATAGCACGTATATACAATGTACGTTTGTATATAAAATTGTACGTATTTGCGTACAATATGTAAAAATGTTATTTAAAGGTACAATATATGCACATAGTTGCGTAAATAAAATGCGTACATGTATACATGCATATTTATATGTACATCGATATATGTGCACGCAAAGTATGTACTTATGTACAACTTACGTATGTACTTGTATAACTACATACTTTGTTAATACTTATGCGCATGTAATGCATGGATGTACAAAAAAATAGTTATATGCACAATGTATGCATGTGCATACAACGTATACATGTACATAATTACAAGTAATGTACAAATACGTGCGTACATTTAAATATATGTAATTACAATATACACATACATTGTGCATACATTAAAAAAATTTATATGAGTAAAGTTATTAAAATTTGTTTTAAAATTATTCTAAGGTATATGAAACTCGACCTCATATTTTTTAGAAAGCAAACGATAATTTTATTTGGAATTTCTAAATATTAATTCCACACATAAAATTTACCGTTTTTCTTACCATTTAAAAAATTTCTATGAATCATGCATTATGTTATAAAAAAAATAAATCTGTATTGTCAAACATTTCATGAAAATACCTGAAAATAATTTTTTATTCAGAGAATTTCAAAATGATATAGAACAATTAAAGCTGAAAACTAAATTTAAATATCGTTTGATTTTGTCATTTAACTTGCTTGAGTCATTAAAAGTTAACTTACATGCATTTTATTTATTGCATTGTACACATATTTAGACATAAATGTAATGTACATATGTATACGTGTAATGTATGTACGCATGTACAATGTATGTACATACATTCATGTATTGTACGTGCATATATAGTACATATGGATATGCATACATGGAACATACGTGTATTGTACATGTGTGGATACATTCATTGTACATATATACATTGCACCATATGCATAGATAGGGATAGCATGCATGTACACATGTAAAATTTGTACGAAAGAATTATGCCCAATATATTTATGCACATACGTACTGTATATGTACACACATATGTACATTATATGAACATTATATGTTCATTTCATCATATGTACATTATATGAATATACATCTGTACGCTATATGTATATACATCTGTACGCTATATGTATATACATCTGTACAATATATGCATCTCAAATGTGTGTATGTACGTACGTTATGCATGTCGAATGCATGTATGAATATATGTGAAATATAAATACGCCCAATGTACGTACAATAGTTCACAAATGTATTATGCATATTTGGATACTTACATTGAGCATGAACATATTATGTACATGTACATAAATACACTGGACATGCATATCATGTACATGTATACATACATATATTGTACATCCTACAGATATACCTATATTGTACATGCATACATATATTGTACTGTTCATAAATAAATTGCACATACATGCATGGGACATACATTGTACAGACAATGTATGTATGTTCGTACAAACACAAGTACTTGTATATACATGCGTACATGAACATAGATATACATTTTACATACACAAATATTTGCATAAAATGCATATATTCATTGTGTATAAATGTACATGCCTACATTGTTTGCACATACATACGTAATTATTATCTATATACATACGTACATATATTTTATACCTACAATATAAGTGTATGTACATGTGTGTGATACTAAAATGTCTGAACATATGCACTAGATAAAATCATATGTACATACATTTCAGTTACATTCATTTGTACGTATACAAATACGTACAAAATGCAGTACATGTTAATACGTGCAAAATGTATCATTATAAAATACATTCTACTATCTACTGTAAAATATAATCATTTATAAGAATACAATAGTCTTGTAATCGTGTAATTAGATTACATGTAATCATAATTACATGTAATCAAATTACATGTAATCAAATTACATGTAATCATATATTTTGATTACTTGTAATCATAATTACTTGTAATCGTTTTTGTTGTGATTACTTGTAATCGCAATTACTTGGAATCATGATTACAAGTAATTGATTACTGTAATCGACTATGTAATCATGATTACAGCTGTAATCAAACTTTGTAATCACGATTACAAGTAATTGATTACTGTAATCAATATTGTAATCATGATTACAGCTGTAATCAAAATTTTTGAAAATTGTAATCATGATGACAAGTAATTGATTACTGTAATCAAAAATTTAATCGATTACATTTTTAGTCAACTCTGACCTGTACATAGTACCACTATGCGCAGGTGTTCCTATTATTTTGTCCTATACCTGCATATATATATATTCCTTGAAAATCTCAAAAATATTTTAGGCCCTTACTAGTTCTTGAATGATTTTAGATCTTATAAGTGAAAATTATAATTTGAAAGCTGCAAAATACATACGTTTATTTAATTATGACTAAAAGAAATGCATTTTCTGCTATAGATGGTCGCATATTGTTTACTATTCTTGGTCAATAATTGAATTGAATATTTGACCTTTATCCAACGCAATTTGATACCTGACCGTAAGGAATAGCTTTTAAGGATATGTACATTTTTAGCAAGTTGCATGGCATTTATAAATAAGTTTCCCTCTGGTACGCATTATTTTTGGTAAATAAGTTTCCCTTTAAGTTTTGGTATTATAAGTTTCCCTCTGCTACATTATCTGGTACACATTGCTAGTTCTTACAGGCTATTTTTATTGAACCACTTTTTCCTTTAAAAGCATGTAATTTCATACTTGAATTGAAGGAGCGAGAATGGCCTCTAATAAATTTCCGAAAAAATTTTAATGACAGTAAAATTTCTATTTAATATTTGATTATAGAACACACGTTAAGAACATGAGAGAAAAACAGTAATTGTCCATGAGAGCTCATTCTTTAGTTCTAATTTTAAGATTTGAGATTTGTTCAGGAGTTAACATACTGTTGAAATCGTAAAATTAAAGTATACATGAATATCACTATAATTTATTTATATTTCTGTGAAATTTAAACAAAATCCAAATTTTGATGTCGAGAGAAAATAAAAATTTAAAATCGGGTTGGACAAGAACCTTATTTCACTCCAAAAATTATTTTCTCTCAGGTCCAGTCGTCTTTTTTACTATGATTTTTTTCGATTTGTCTACGCATGGACTGGAACCGTTTTTTCCCAGCAAAGCCTATCTTCAAAGAGTAATAACTTTCAGTGAACAAATTTTTCTACTTTATTGATTTGTCAAAACTTAAAAATCCTCAAATCACCACAGATGGTTACCCAATCGTTGTTTTTTGAAAAAATGGATACAAACCGTTCTTCACAATTCGTCTTTGTATTAAAGAGATGCTATAAACAAGTAAATTTTTAAAAATTATTTGTTTGCAATAAAATTTATTTCCCAAAGTTCTTAGAAAAAAACTTCAAAGACACAAAAATTATGTATCTGAACATTTGTTTTGAATTTCACAATGCTCTTTTCTTGTTGCATTTTTAAAATGAGACTGGTTTCACAGTGTTGTTCAAAGAAAAAAAATAATACCCCTTTACTATGATTCTCAGATTAGTAGCATTTGGAAGGTTGAAATGTAGAACACAAACTTATGATTAGTTTACTTGTTTTAGAATTTTGGATAGCGTTTAGTTCTATTCTGCCACACGATTTATTGATTTATTGCCATATGCTTAGATACCATAAACTTTGTAATTACTTACTCAGTTCAGTTTTGTGTCTTTACTCTTTATGCATTTTTTGTTAACTGCAGTTCATTCATAAATGATATGTGTTTAATTTTTTAGTTCCTTAACATCATCCTTTGAACAAATTTTCTTTATATGTCAAATATTTTAATCATAATTACTGAAATTTAAAAGCGGAGTATCACTTGTAAGCATTCATTCCTACCTGTATAAGCAGTGAAAGAAAGTATTTTAAGAGTTAGCAGATTTTGCCTGATGTAATGACTGATACTGTTTAAAAATCAAATTTCAGTATTTTTGTAATATCTCCATTGTGGATTAAAAATTTGAAATTTAACTGTGCTATTCAAGCTCGGAGGGAAAAAATGTTCGTGGACTAAGCAATATTTTATTATACACAGTCCAGTCACATTAATGTGACCACATGTCAAAAGCGTTAACCAGGCTTCTGCTGTGGAGGCCCATGCGCAGCAATTTTTGCTGAGCCGCTGTTGAGGATACACTCTTGGTAGTCCTTTTTTCATATGGGCGGTCAGTTGCTCAACAGTTGCACATATATTTTCCCGAACGCATCTTCTTAGCCTTCGTTCGTCTCTGTCATCTATAGCCCGTGGTGCACTACATGTGCCACGCCACTGACTTTGGATAGTGCCATTTTGCCATGAACGGTATACTTTTACCACGGCGGCACGCGAACAGTTCACGAAATTAGCAATTTCCGAAATTCTTCCACCTTTGGCCCGAAACCCAATAATCATGCCCTTTTGGACGTCGGATAAATCGCTGCGTTTCTACATTACGCAAACGATTGAAATGCTTTCCGAAGCCATAGGACATCCTTTATATACACTCCACTTAAATGTGCTGCCACCTGCCTTCTGTGATTGGTTACTTCACGTTGACGTGGAAAGTAGGGGGTGGTCACATTAATGTGACTGCACTGTGTAAATTATTACTTAGATATTCAAAAAAATACCATCACGGAAGAGTTTAACATATTTTTGTTTATTTTTGAAGAATATTTATCATAATTAGCCAAAAAATCTAAATATTGATAAAAAGCATTTTTTATCTCGTAAATTTAAAATTACACAACTTTTACTGGTAAGAGAACGCAGACAACATCCTTATTCTTGTCATCCTTGAGTTGCCATTTGACATCAGCTCGTAGCTAAAAAAATAAAAAATGATAACGTTTTAACAAAGGTCTTCCTTCATTATTACAAATTAAGTTTAAAATTATTCGGTTTTTAATATTTTGTTTTTTAAATTATTTTTTTGTTGCTTAAATTAATTAATTTTAAAAAAGGATTTATTTAATATTTTTTAAAAAAATTGATTTTGTTAAATTTTTAAATAGATTGTATATTTTAATAACCGTTACTGTAATCTCAATATAACAGATCATTACTCATTGTTCGCATAATTTACAACATAACGACGACAGTAATTCCTTCTAATCGTGGTGTAGGAAAAAGTATATTTATTATGAATAATATTCGAGAACGTTCGAAGTTCACGAAGAGAATAATTTTGGTAAAATTACCGTACTGTATGGTTATAACAGTTCAGTTAAAAAAAAGGAAGAAAAAAAAACAACGTAATTCTACATTTAAAAAGCGAAATAAATGGAATTTTAGCCATTCATTTGATATTTTTTCTTCTAATATGGTAACAAATTGCTGGAAATTCTAGTTTTAATAATTACAGTTCTTATTACCACATTATTATAACCGTGGTTAAACAGACGACCCAATTTTTTGGAGGGTTTACGATTGCTAATGTTCAGTTCCATAGCCGTGCAATTTTGAACCCAATGCAGAAGACAAGGGAACTCCTGGATCAAATATTGAGAGAAATTTGCTTTCTTGGAGGACTTTTTGAGGGAACTTACCTACATTTGCGTCTCATGGAGAGGGAGACTACGAAAACCTTCAACCATTTGCTTGACGGCAAAGGGACTCTAACGCATGATCCGTGTAACACCGAGGATATTTCACGTCAGTACTGTGGTAAGTGCAAGCCGGATGCCAACCACACTGTTAGTGAAAAATGCAAAACTTAAAGAGGAATTCAATGGAATAAAATGGTTTTTACGCCACTTAAGGAGTACCGGTAGTTTGAGTGGCGGTACTCTTTATCATCAACAATTTTACAGGAATCCATTAATTCTAACTACAAAATCTATTATTATTGGAACATGTGACGGGAAAAAATCTGATTTACCGTTTTTACACAGTAATAATCACAGTAAAATCACTGAATCATTCTAATGAAATGAACATTACAGCAAAAATTCGGCAATAATATTTTATTGAAAAATGGGCTTTGCAGATGATGTACTATATCGTAATTTGATCCAGAGTTTTTATGCTGACCACTGGAAATTTATTTACAGATGGAGAAAAAAATTGTTTACGTATGGGGATTACTTAGAAAACGATGAGTCCTATTCGGATTCAGATATATAAGAAATGGGGTTACGTCTCATGTGTTATCGGGTGAATAATGAAAGTCTTATTTAAAGTATCGTTAACAACGAGCTGTTTACATCAGACTCATATGATCTGCAATGTTGCAGAAGGGACTCCGTTGTAATCTTGGCAGTCATTCAGCATTGAACTTAACCCGGAAGGAAAGATAACTTTTGGAAAAAAAAACTCACCATCGAGGAGTACCCTTGGGGCCTGTTTTTTCAGTAATATAAAAAAAAATCTGCAAAGGGACCCATACTTTTTCCAGCCAGGCACTAATATATTTTTGCTCACATTTATTTTAATACATAACTGCAAAACTTACTGTAGGATAGTTATCACGAACTTCAATATCATATGAATATGTATAACTTTCTCCATTTTTAATAGGGCATTCAATATCACTGTGTTCACATGCATTTGCATTAGGAAGAGGAAATGGCATAGCTACTCCATTAATAATTCCATTAAGTACAGCTCTCAGTCTTTTGCTTGCAGTTACTGAAAAGAAAATTCAAAACCAATGTAAATTTTTGAGATTACAACTTCGAGTAGAATAAAAATATGGAAATATGGTATGTTTCCATGTGCACCATATGGAAATATGGTATAATTCTACATTCTCATTCAGAGAAGCAATAGCATAACTTCTAGGTTTATGCCATTCATTATTTGCGAACAGAAAATCTTTTTAATCGTTATAAAGCTTACAATAGGTCTTGTTTTAGGAAAATGTAAGGTGTTCCTTTCCTGTGAATCCTTGCTCTTCAGCAGGTATTTAATTAGATTTCACTTAATAGTGAAATTTAAAAAAAATGAGTTCATATTCTTAAAAATCAAGTACTTTACTCTTTTGCACATGCATGAATTTTTTAAAAATTTTCACTTTTTTTATTAAAAAAAAAGCGCAGTTGCTCAAGTGAACTTTTCTAGCACAATTCCCCATCTGTTAAATTTAACACGATAATACTAGAAAAAAAGAGAATGAACAGTTTCCAAGTCATGAAACATTTAAGAAAAAAAGGTATTATTTTTTATTTCCGAAGAATATGTTCGACCTATCTCGTTAAAATTTTAAGTTTCGCAATTTTAAGTGACATATAATGAATGACGTATATATTTTTTCATGCTTCGAGTAAAAAAAAATATCGATCCTTTTTAAATTAAATAGTAATAAAAAGATGTATTAAAATAAAAATTATAATTGGAAGCGAAAGTCTTAAAGTTATGTTATTAATTAGTTTGATAGCCTATGTACTTTAACACTTTGCGAAACATGCATGTAGTAAAAATAACATAAGCGAGCTTAGAATTTTCGACTGACTAAACTATTGTTATTGTTACAATAGTATGTATTGTTACATACATATAAACCATTGCTGAAGTGTTACATTTTTCAGAGAATGACTACTTGGACTGTAAATTATTTGGCTTCATATTATGAAATATCTTTTGTTGTGAAATTTTAAGAGGGAAAAATTATGTTTTGGGCATTTTTTCTTGAGGTTTTAAATGTCAATTTGAGATGTTCCTTTTATATTTTTAATTCCATTTAATTTCGAATTACCTAAATTCATAGAAAACTTTTTCTCTTTATGCTATTCTGCGCCACTCAATTCGTTATATTACAAGCTACAATGTTGCGCATTGAAAGATATATGTACTTAATATACTTACAAGACTCAAATTTTACTTCATAATTGTAAGTTTCTCCTCTCTTTAATTCGCATATATCTTCATCTTCACACCCAGTCATTTTGACAGAAACAATTTTTCCTGTTTTCGATCCTAAAAAAGTAAAAGTTGTAAGAATAACTCGATCAATAAAAAAATTGCTTTAATGTAAAAAATTTCTTTACTTTAAAACTCGTGAAAGAAACACATTAGGGCTACAAAATTGATACATTATATTCAGTAAAAGTTCTTTAATGCAGAATAAGCTTTTTTTGAAAAATGAACTAAAAGACTGTAATTTAACGCCTATAAGTTCAAATTAAACAGTTTTCAATACTTCGAAATACTTGAAATCTAGAAATTATCAAATCAGAAAGTTATCACATGTTAATCACTTACAATGGACTTAGAATAGAAAACGTCACTACGTTTAATACAGATAAAGAAAAATTTAAAAAAAATATTCCCTTTTTTCCGATTTTTTATATTTTCCTTCAAATTTTAAAATATAATTTAAAAATATTTTATTTTTTGATAATTTTCCTGCTTCGTTAAAAATTTATATATTTTTTCCATGTTTTCCTTGTATTTTAAACTTATTACATGGGTTCCCATGTAATGGCAGCTTATGTGCACTAAAATAATTTCTTGTACAGTAATAATTTTATATATAGGAATAAATAAATCAAGTGAGTTGGAGATAACAACAATATGGTCAACAAGAGTCGGGATGGCTCAGGGGATAGAGCGTTCGCCTTCCAACGTGGTGAACCGTGTTCGAATCCCACCTATGGCTTGTCAATACGAATCTGCATCCGGCTTGTACCAACCGGAATGCTGATGTGAAGTATCCTCACCGGTTGACGGATCGTGGGTTAGAGTCCCTTTGCCGTCAGGCTAACCGTGAGTAGTTCTCGTGGTCTTCCTCTCCATGTAACGCAAATGCGGGTTAGTTCCATCAAAGAAGTCATCCACGATGGCAAATTTTTCCCAATACTTGATCCAGGAGTTCCCCTGACCATTAGTCATAACCCAGTCGTAAACCCAGAAATTGGGTCGGTTGTTCAGCGACGGTTATAAAATAAAATATAAAATATGGTCACCATTCCATTAACACTAGGCTTCCAAACCTGACTGCATTTTGAGCGACAGCCATCAAATTGATAGCTGTTCTTGAGACATAGTTTGTTGTGTAGTTGTAGAGATAATTCAAATACTTTAGAACGTTTTTTTTTTTAATTTCATAAGTAATATAATTTAATGCACATTTATTAATGCACATTTATTAATAAAATTTAAGGCATACCTTTAAGAGAGATTGCTTGCTATTTTTATTCAACTTCAAAATGAAAAATTTGGAGACATAAAGATTTCTCAAAGTATGTTTTTTTTTTCAAATTAAATTGATCCACGAAATTTTAAAATGATTATTGTAACTATTTCTATAGTTCAGTTGAAAAAAAAAAGACTTATGAATAACACTTGTAAAATAAAAATTATGAATTAAACTAAAGAAATATTACATACTTTAATAATAATAAAATACTTTTATTATTAAAGTATGTAATGTATATAATGTATATAATGTATATAATGTATATAATGTATATAATGTATATAATATATGTAATATATATATAATGTAATGTATATATCATTCAAACTTATGTTTTTATTGTTAACCCGTATTCTTTCATGTTTGATTGCATTTATATTTTAATATATTTGATTTTCCATAATGATGATAAGACTCGGTAGTTTTCATTTCGCCTCATTCTTTTACTATTATAATAATTCGCAAAACGCAATAAGAAATTTACAAAAATGAGAAATTTGATTTTATTTGATACATACTTCTCTTGGGAAGAGTATGTGATATCTATTAACTCGCTCAGTCTTAGAGCTTGAACTACTCTTACCATTTTAATGAAAATTAAGTAAGTTCTCATCCTCTATTCTAACTTCATATAGGTTTCTCAAAAGCCACATAATTATAGATCACGTTCAAATTTTAATTAATCACGGAAATACAAAACATGTTATAAGATGCTGTTAAATTACAGCAAACAAATCTTTTTTCAATTATAGCTGCTGCTGAAAAGATATTTCATTCACTAAGAAAAAAAGTATGGTTAAAACTGCCAGAATACGGTTAACTATGGTGTTTAGAAATGGGTTTTATGGGATCATCAAAAATCTCGTATTCAAATTTCTTTGTAAATAAATTTATACCGAAGCATTGTGTTAATGAGTTTGATAAAGTTTTATTTAAAATATGTTTTTATAATATGTGATAAAATCTGGTAAATGTGGTAAAATTCTGATACCTTGGATCATGGCGCAAAACCTATTTATTCGGTGAAATTTACTTTTCAGTTTTGTATTTTTTACTTTTGTATTTTTTACTACTTTTATTGTCTGGTAATACCATTTCAACTAAAAATTTTCAAATGAATAGTATAAATACTGAATATTTAAGTTTTAGTTATCAGAGTTATGTTTTGTTCAATTCAAAATGCGATTAGCATTCCTTTTACCAGATTTAATAATTTCAAAATTTGTTTCTCCGTCTGTTTGTCATGATAGTATAATTGTTTAAATACAAGAACTTATCATATTTCTATAATTATTAATATTGTTTAATTCAAAACACTCAAATGTAAATAAAATAAAATTATTTATATTTTATGATGTATGAAAATCTATGGTCTTTTTTAGTTTGAATTTTAATAAATTTTCTTTCCATTTTAAATTAATATTATATAGTTTTTTTTAAGTTGAGATTTTAAACTATTTATTCATTGCTCCAAACTCAATTAATTCCTTTTTCCAAAGCTATTAATTTAAACTATAAATCATAGTTTAGCATTTTTGCGAAATATTAATATTGAGAGTAATATTTTTAAAATGCATTATTTCTTTAAAATAAATCATCAGAGGTAAATTTAATTGTCTAATCATTCATATTTTTTTCTGCAAACAAAGTATTTTGAATTTTAAAACAAAAACTTTTTTTCAAAAAAATAGGCAATAATTTAGAAACACTTTGGGAATTCTAAAAAAATCAATTTATACGTTTTTATGATAGCCATTTTTAATTGTAATAAAATTTGCTATTTATAAGATTTCTTTTACTTTAAAGTCCAATATATTTAAATATTTCTTTTAATTTCTTTTTCAACAAATTTCAACTGTTAATCGAAGTTGAAGTGTTGTGTGAACAAAATTTTTTCTACAAAAGGTTTTAGTTGAATGTAAAATTTTAAAAAGAGTAAATGAAAACCTAACATCTTATGGGAAAGTTGGCTTATTAAATTCAAACATTTGTACAGTGAAAGCTATAGTTTAAAGACGCGAATAATTTTTATGAATGTCCGTCTTTTAATTGATGTCATAAACGTTGCATTTCATGCGTGATTTTTTTTAAAAGTTGTCTCTTGAATGTCGAATTTCTTAAGAGAGGCATGAAAAAAATGTTGATGCAAAAGAGATAATAAAAATCCTATTTACTTTCATGAACTATACATTCTTTCAGTTCGATTCCCGTACTGTTCGAATTTATTACTAGATATTCTATCTGTTGACAGTATTGTTCAAATTTATGTGTATTTGATACGCAATACCGAAGCCCCCTACTAAGTATCCCCAGTAACCATGTACTTTCTTATCACTGATATGTATTTAAATTAAAGTTTTGTAACTAAATCTTTAAAGTCATAAATATATAAAAATTGAATAAAAATGAATATGCTTATTTTCGGTTAAAATTGGACAATTCTAAAACAAATGCAGTAAGAAGCAAAATTTTTCTTTTACACTCCCGCATATTTTTCGAAAAAATAAATAAATTAAATAAATAAAATTTTAAAGAAATGGAATTTTTAGTGTTCTCTCTCTGAAATATTAGGCACTGCAACACTTGCTGCCATATATAATTGTTGTTCATTATTTCATTGATCAATTCATATTCTTTTTACAGTATCAAAGTAAATATTTTGTTTGATTCTCCACCTGTATGATAAAAATATAAATTGGAATTATACTGGTACAGCAATTTACGGAAAAAATTACTTTGAAAGTTGAGAAATAGTAATTTTGAAATTTGTCTCAAATTTATTTATTTCATTGCTAACTATACTCAAAAGAAAATTGTAAAGTTGTATGTTTTAAATTGTACTTACATGTTTCTCATTGTTTATATATCTTAATCACATAACTGTTTATAAATAATTTTTATGAAAAAGTATTACTTACCACAGTCAGTATATTTAAGTCCCCATGCCAAAGGGAATAACAGAGCTGCAGACCAAATAAAGGAAGGTAACATACTTAACTCCTAAAATATACGTTTTTAAACAATTGATAATCGAGATATTTTTGACTTTATATATGTATAAGTGACCCGCATTTATGTTTAAATTCATAAATCTGAAGATATCATTTCCTGTATGGAGGTCAATTCACTAGGAAGGAAAGTGATATGCCCTCATTAGAGAACTTTCCCACATGCCTGTTACAAAACAACTATTCTGTAGAGAAAATGTTTCTAGTCTCTTTAAAATGTCCAAATGAATTTAGAAAAATACTTTCAAAAGAGATTGCATTCTTGTTATTAATGCACATTNATAATTATATCTATACTTATCTACTTATGTTATAAGTGGTATGCTTATATACTTCATATAAATTATAAATTTTGATTGCATTTTCTGAAAGTTTCAATTCTGAATTTGTACAAAATTTTAGGGACATATGTCAGTTTTTAAAATAGTTAAGCTGTTTTTTAAGTGACAGATATCAAATGGGGATGATGAAATCATGGTTTTCTCGAGCTTAAAAACACGGGAAAGAGTTGAGCAAAAATGTGGAGCACCAAAGAGTTTTTTAACGCGTTCGGTCCCAAGCATTAGATTAAATATATATTTCATCATTTATGCACTTTTATGAGTGTGACATTTTTGGGATTTAAATGTCTATACTTTTATCCAGGGTCTTATCTATCATTTATATTATTTTTACAAATATTTTAAGTCATTAATATTGCACAAACATTTGAATCAATAAGGTACTTTACCTTTAAATTTTTTTATCAACTTGTGTACATCTTTTTTTAGAACTACGATTGATTTAGTATTATAAAGATATTTTTATTTAATGTTTAATAGAATACTTAATTTAAATTAACGAATTTTATGAATCTATTCCCAGTTCACAATCTCACCTGGGCAAAAACTGCAAATTTTGTTTTCACCTGGGCAAAAATTGCAAACTATTTGGAATATCCAAATGACAGGAAACTATTTAGAATATCCAAATGACAGGAAACTATTTGGAATATCTAAATGATTAAGATACAAAGTTGATCTCTAAATGTATTCTATATTTTTCAAACTGACATGAGATCTTAAATAGAAATGCATTGATTTTCCTCTTCTAGTTTATGCTAATTTGGTTCATAAATGTCAGAATTATCAACACTTTACTTTTTTTCCGTCACTCAAAAAGTAGAAAGACGTATTGATTAAAAAAGCTATGCTGCGCATACTTTAAATTACAAAATTTTCCTTTTGATTAAATTTTTTTATTATTGTTCAGATCAGAGACATGCATTGTTTAGACATATTCCACCTTTTTGAATGTCTCAGATGAAGTAAGATACAATTGAATTTTAATTCAGGTGTTTTTTTCCTCAATATAATTTAAGAAGAATTTCAAACTCAATTTAAAATTTTCCAATGTTTATTTGCTGTGTCAGTCAGTGTACATAATACTTCTAGTCAATGTAATTTGAACAATTAAATGTTGATCGCCATCAGAAGGTATACAGACGTTTTCATTTATACCTATTTCTAGATGATTTATAAATTTATTTTTGTATCATTTTCCATAAATTTTAAAAATTAAGCAGTTCTTTTCCGTAAAAAGAAGTTTTATGTAGCATACCATATATTATATCAGTTAAACATACTCTTGCTACTTCAAACATTATCAGTTTTCACTGTAAAAAAATCTGGGTCGCATTACTGTCAAATGTAATGAGACTCAGGGTTGCTGGTACTTTTTGTCGCGAAATTTATTTTTACGGGAGCAGAAACTATACCGTATGATGTACCATAATTGTTCTAATAATAATTACAGTAAAATTGATGAATCACTTTAACTAAAAAAAAACTATTACTGCAAAAATTACGGTATAATATTTTACGGAAAAAGGAATTTCCTAACAATATATTTCAAGGATAATGTACCCAAAATACCTCTACGTTATGCCTGTAATTTGATATGATATTTTTGACAGTTAGTTAAGTTTCTAATAAAAAAAGCACAAGTAATACTTTAATTTTCTGGAAAGACTTTCGTACGTTTTTAAATTCAATTACTTTTAAGGCCTTATATATGATTATATATATTTATTTTAGACACCAAATCTCTTTTAAAGAAATGATAGCAGAGTAATCCTCAGCAAAAGGTAACATTTATATTCCAACTTAATTTACGTAAAATTCAAAGATATAAACTTCCTCAAAATATGTCAAAATATAGATGCAATAACCTAATTAGTTTAGTAAATTTAAAACATATTTTAAAAAACTTCACCCAATATATCAATCAGTAATAATAAAAATATGAAATAACATTTCTGATATCTCATTAAACTCAAATACGTTATAAACATTTTTATTCCTTTAACTGAATTTTTACGCATGTCCATTAAGAATAAAGAAATATTCCAACAAATGCGTTTAATTTTATCCAATTACGTTCCTTCATTTCATTTAGAGTATCTGAATTAATTACAAGATGCGACAGCTGTTCGCCACTCACTGTGAAACCAAAGAAAGAACAAATTCGTAAAAAAAGTCATATTTAATTACATATTCCTTTTAATTATTTAATTTGAAAGTCTTGCAACTAACTTCGGTAAGTTAATTAAGGAAGAGACATCACATTTCCCCTTTTTGACAACTCACTAGATAATATATATATTATTTAAAAGATATGTTCAACTTCTTGTGTAATGCTCTTTTAAAGATATTATTTGTGTTAGTTACTAGCAATGTAACAATAGATTCAATTTTAATTATGATGAGTTTTTTTCTTTTTTCGTTTCAAATATGCACATATTATTAATAGCTACGAATTATTTTACCCCGATATTTTTATTATGGTTTTATATTGTTACTAGACACAGCTCATTTTGGATAAAAATTTTAAATTTTTTTAATAAACTGTAACTGGATATAAACTGAACTGAAACTAAATTATAGATGTACACTGTTGTTGGAATTGTAACGAATTCAACAATATTGTATCGTACATCAGCCCCTTATTTAAAGTGCAAGTAATTTTACTGCTGAAATTGCATGTTGTACAGAGAACGAAGTTCGTTTCTAAGGGACATGAATGAAACAAGCCTTAAGACAATTTTTATAAGCAGAATGTTCCAGAAAACTCATCTATAAAATACAGAAGCAATCAATTATATCTCAAATAACAGTGCAATACATAAAAAAACAAGCTTTGAAACCTCAGACGGTAGATGAACTCTCATATGAGCGCACTAATGCAGCCAACTGTAGACTAATAATCTGCTCTGTGAGGTACGCTCCTATTTATATAGGCTTGGTGACTAAACTCAAGACATTTCGGAATGATTTCAGACGATTCTCGCATAGCTCCATAAAAATTGTTCCGATCACTTTAAAACCTGTCTGTCATTCTATTCATCTATCCTCTATGATACTAATCTATTCTCTATCGTTCGAACTATTATTTTGTAGACAAAATCATCGTCAAGTATCTCCAAATCTCCAAGAATATCGCCAAAATGGCAAAAAGTCGCCCAAACTAGTGTTCCTTCAGAAATTCATTAGGCGTTATTTTCTCTCTAAATTGCGGAAAAACAGAACAATTTCCTGGAACATTTTTCAATTAAACTGTTTGGGACTGTGGGTACCGTTCTAATAAAGTGGGCTGTAAAAATTAACGAAATCAATTGAGAGCGAATTCAGAACCACAAAGGTAACGTTTTATCTCAATGGTCACTTTAGCGAATACCGTGATCAATGGAACTTTACCGAAATAAATCAGTGTTGAGAGTACCGGGAAACGTATACCAGGTTGTGTCTCTTTATCTTAAAAAAAAACATCAGTGTATGGTAGAGCTTGCAAATGTGTCCGGCAAATGCCGTTAACCTTACAAAAAAAATTACTGTAAGGTATACCAGGTAAAGGCTCTTAAACTTAAAGTAAAATCAGTGTTAAACCTAACAATGACCCTTTCATCCTTTATTAATCAGATTATCGAAAATAATAAATAAAGATTTCTCTTCTTCGATTATTATGTTTAGTGTTTGATTTAGTGAAAAAATTTAGCCATTGCCAATTTCCACTTTAAAGGAAAAGTACGGTATATTGAATATCATGTCTCTCAAAATGCTTAAAACACACTTTAATTTTTAATTGAAAATGTAAACTGTAAAATTGTTTCAAATGCAGTATGATTTAAGATTATGCAGATGAAACTGGCTTACAATTACTTTTCAAAGAGGTACAAGAAAAAAAAATGCAGCATTTATTACTTACTTTACTTACTTATCCTTTACGTGCCTTGGGCACTTAAGGCCTCTAGCATATCGCGCCAACGCCTCCTGTCTTTAGCAATAGATCTTGCTTCCTCCCAGCCAGATATTCTACATTCTTTTAATTCGCCCAAAAACATGCGCTGGATGGTAAGTCTGGGTCTTCCTCTTGTTCTCTTACCATCAGGGGCCCATGTAAGCGCAACAGATGAAATTTTTTCTTTGGGCATTCTAAGGATATGTCCGAGCCAGCTCCATCTTCGTTTTTTAATTTCATCTTCGATTGTTTTTATTTTAGCTTTCTTTAATAGATTTTGATTTGATACTTTGTAAGGCCAGAAAATTTTAAAAATAAATCTTAAACATTTGTTTTGAAAGGTTTCTAATTTTTGTATTTCGATCTTAGTCTGTTTCCAGGTTTCTGCGCCATATAATAGTACTGCTCTAACAATAGCTTTGTAAACAACTATTTTTGTCTTTATTTCAATATTTGACTCTCTCCAAAATTTATGTAATCCCTTAAAACATGTTCTTGCTTTGATTATTCTCTGTCTAATATCTTCACTACTTCCACCTTTTCTATTTACAATAGAACCTAAATAGCTAAATGACTCTATGTCCTCTATTTCATGATTTTCGATTTTAATTTTGTCATTTTTCTTTTGATTTATTCTCATTACTTTAGTTTTCTTCTTGTTCACGAATAAACCCACACTATTTGAATATTTGTTGAATTTGTCTGTTTTAAGCTGCAGGTCTGTACATTTGGATGAGATAAGTACGATGTCATCAGCAAAATC